AAGAATTCATATTATTATATTCGAAGTCGGTAAATCGCTATTTTATCTTCTCAAATCAGATTTCGGTAAGTCGAATGATGTTTCGATTTCACGCATATTAACGGCATGCTCTTGATGAATATAATATGCACATTATCGGTGTAATATCTCCTACAAACATAACTTAATTTTAGGAATACAACAACCTATAATTTGAAAGAGGCAAAAATTCAAAAAAAGTGACAGAAATGAAAACAGAGAGAGGGAGAGAAAGAAATTTACATTTGGTGGAACGGAAAGGTGTAATGTTCGAGAGAGATATGTTGGTGATAGAAAAATTTACGATTGTTGATTATATGTTGGTGATATTAATAGGCAAGATTTAAATTTTTATTTCTATCTTTAATATTTTCCAGGTTGCCCTGTGAGCAATAAATATTTACACTAATATTACACCTATTATATTCTGCAACTTAATAAATGTTGAATTGGTCATATGAAGAATCTACTTCGTCTCCATTAAATCATTCTACCAATAGTTACAATGAATCGTTTCATCTTCTCTCTTTGATTCAATTCTGAAGCTTAATAGTTATAATATGTGTGATAATATATCAGTCCGCGTCAACCATATTTGCACAAAATCGAAAAGTGAAAATAAGAGATTAAGAAATATATACAAATTTAAGAAGGAAAATTGAATCTTGGTTGGTGGGGTCCACATCAACACTACTTCCATTATCATCTCCATGAATTTGATCAAGCACCAACACCAACCCCATAGCAATTGCCATCGAATCCAGGCTTGTTTGGGAATAAAAATGTCTTTTTAACTATGACATTGGCGGAAGAATCCACTTTGCTTCCGATCTCCGCCACAATCTCCTTTTTGGCATTGAAAATGATGTAGTTCCGGTTCATGAAGGAGCCTTCTATTTAGTACTCTTCGCAGCAAGTATTGTACATCTTTTCCGTCGTGCTCAACCGTCCAATTATTGATAACATGTGCACGTTGAATAATGGCTTCTTACCCTCACTTTTCGTCGAAGAAGCCTTCCCACATCTGAAATGGCTATATTCTTTTGTGTGCGCGTGTTCGCAGGTTTGGCATTTGGGGGTTTTTATAACATATAAATTACATTTTTAAATGGTTTAATTAGTTAATAGGGTATTAATCAAATTAATTATTTTTTAGTGTATTGGGCCTAATTTACCCAAAATAAAATTTGTGGTCAGTTTGGGTCTCGGGTTATGAATTAAAACTCAATCAAACCTAGTCCAATTTGATGAATTAAAAAAATAATACTTTAAATGGAAAATTTTAAATAAGCACAATAGTCGATACAAGAAAAGAGAGAGGGGGGGGGGGTGGAGAGAGAGACTTAAAATGTACAAACGTCTCTTTTTTTTTTTACATATTTTCTTTTTCAAAACTAAATAGACACATGTTATTTATTATGGTTTTTTACAAGAAAGAGTCAATTACCTCAAGAAAACTAAATCTCGTTTCATGGATAATGTCTCAAATTACTGTGCATTAGACTTAAAGGTTAGTGTTGCTGTTGATGAGATATGATTATAATTTTTATTTTATTTTATACAATCCACAGTGTATCCCGAAGAATCTCCCCAATCCCTGGTGCTGCAATGAAGAGGATAAGGACACTTATTGTTAACACCACGTAAGCAGCATCGTAGTGCTGTTGTGATGAAGAAGAGATTGGAACCTCTACGGCGATTCGTACCAGGAGATTCTGCGCATGGAGCACACCCCCATCGAAGCATTGCCACAATGTACACCCCATTAGAACCTCTGCGCACAGAGGCGTGGCAGCTGCGTAGCGCCTCTATGGCAATTTGTGCCAGGGTATTGCACTTTCCAATTGAGTCATGCGGCGATATGATATTTTCTCCGATTGTGGAGTTTCTCCGACGATTTATGGAGGTCGATGGTTTGCACGGTAGCAACGGTGGTGTGGCACGGTGATGGTGGTATGTGCGCCGTCGCACACATTTTCCTCTCACAGAGGCACTCCATCCACTACCGGAGATGGCGGCCCTACTTAGGTTTTTTGGTTGTTTTGATCATTGGTAGTTTGCTTGGTTGTTGGGTTGTTAGTGACTGTTGTGGTGGTGCAATAGTGGTTGTTGTGGAGTATTATAGTGGTGGAGGCAATTAGGGCTGGGCAAAATGTCTGAACCGAACCGAACGGTTTTTCTTAAATGAAATACTCGAATGGGTATCCGAATCGAGAACCGAATGATTTGGTTCGGTTCTAGACCCAGAACTGAATAACCGAATAAGAACCGAATTTNGATTTGAAGGTTTGAAGCAAATGAATTATTGATATGAATTATCGAAGTTTTACTAGTAATATTTACTTTTTGGTATTGATGTGAATCGTCGAAGGTTTGGTATGTGTTATTAAATTAGATTACGTTAATTTGTAAAAGTTAAGATTGAACTTAGTATTTGTATCTACTTTTTATTATTAATATTAGTATCTACTTTCATGTGTATTTATATAATATTATTCTAAATGTTAAAAAAATTAATTATAGTACGGAACCGAACCGAACCCGAACGGTTCCAAAATTATATTTGAAACTGACGGTTCCCATACCCGAAAATTTCTGGAACCGAACAAAACCGAACCGAACCGTGCCCACCCCTAGAGGCGGTTGTTGGTAGCTGGAAATCTGATAGTGGTGGTTGTAGTGATTTTTGTTGGCAGTGGATTGGATTTGGTGGTGGCATTTTTGTTGGTGTTGGTGGTATTGTGATGTTGTTAGGGGCGGTAGCGAGGTAAAGGTGGTCACAAGTGGTCATAGTGTTGGTGGTAGTGGTATGTGACTCACTATTTGGTGTATGTGACTATTTAATTATAACCTAAAAATTCGATAATTTGTGACTGAAAAATAATTTATGATCAACTAATTTGAACACTATTTGGTGTATGTGACTATTTAATTTTAACCTAAAAATTCGATAATTTGTGACTGAAAAATAATTTATGATCAACTAATTTGAAAATCTATGATCGACTAATAAATTTTAACCTATAAATTTTTTGATTTGAAACTGATGAAATAATTTGTGGTCAATTAATTAGATATCATACTTAAGGCCTGACTTGTGAATTTTTCTCTTAAATATATCAGGGGTTTTCAAGTGGCTTCAAACTTTTAAAAATTGTCCAAATCCAACTTGAATTGGGCCCAAGCCCAAACCGGGGATTGGTTTGATTTTAGATCAAACTGACCATATTGTATTGGGTTTGGGTTGAACAAAAAGCGACTAATCCAACCAACCCACAACCCACCCTAATTTGTATTATATGTATAATAATTATAGTATAAATATAAAGTTTGAAATCAATATTTATAAATTTGTAAAATGGAGACTAAATAAATAAAATAAAAAAATAATGAGCAAAGGCATATAGCTAAATTGCCAAATACATGAACATTTTTTCCGTATACTCCAGCAAAACACTGAAACACATAGTTAAATCGTCAAAAGCGCTGATTGTCTATGTTGCTGTGGGATACAATATATTTGATAGATATCAAACAGTCGCTTGTTTTACTTTTATGACGTGATTTACTATGACCAAGTGTAGATGCCATCACAAGGGTCTTGTGAAAGAGGAAACCAAAAAAATATGAACCCACAAAATCTTTACGAGAAAATTGAATATCAAACAATGAAAAACTTGGAACTTTAACTGGAAATTAGTGGCATGAAGGTATGGCTATACAGGCAAGTCTCTGGCAGTTTGAGTAAGCAGAACATTAACATAACTACAGAGAGATGAATAGGAAATTCTGAGTTGTTCAACAAATACTTGTTTGGCATGTAGTAGTGGACAAGCTTGGATACTTTAATCAGTGAGATTTAACTTCTTTCTCTTGAGATTGAATACTCTAATCAATAAGATTTTACTTCTCTCTTCTTTAATACTATCTTGTGATATCTAATTCATCCTACTAAACATGCCACTACTGTTCATATTGATTCAACGGTATCATTTTCTATTCCGTTGAAAGTTCTATAAAGATGATTCTGCATATGTTCACTAATATAAGCCATTTTCCATCGTTTTTTTTCACAGTGGTGACATAGATGCATACAGCATCCAGGTATGTAATAAACAGCTTAAAGCTTCCAATTGAGAATGCTGTACCTAAGTTTCGATGATTAATTTTCATGACAGGTAGGAGGGTGGTGGTGGAGTGCAAAGGATGAAAGGATTAACATTTGTTACAGTGAGACAAGATGGACATCTTGTTCCAAGCTACCAGCCTCAACGGGAACTTACCATGATTTCATCCTCTCTTCAAGGGGTTCTTCCTCCTCCACCTAATGATCTGACTTTTTACACACCAAACAAGTTCTCCAAAGATTGTGATTTCTTTTCTTATTTCCTTCATAAGCGAAGGGGCCAATATTTTGTAAGTCGGAATTTAGTAGGTTGGATTTTGTTGGAGTCCGAACTCCAATCTCGCTAAAATGAGTAAGTTGTCCCACTAATGATCTATCACTTAGGTCAGATGCAATATGTCTGAGGTCAGCTCGAGCCGCCGTCATCTTGGAGACATAATGATGTCGGGGACCTGTCATCACCAATACACCTTTCACCCTCCGAATCATACCATGCCACCTGGTGTCATTGACATCAGTACCTCTTATTCGACCAATCAATTACAAGCAATGATTACTTGATGGTATCACTGCAATCCAAACAATGATGATCTGGTAAAGTCGATCTCAAGAACCAATCAAATACAGGCCAATGGCATGCATATTAAGATCATTGCTGTGGCTTATTTAACCCTGGGCAAAAAACTTGCTGGTATCCGGTCTATAAATAGGAATGTAATGGTCTCCCCTTGGGACTGAACTCAATGTACTCTCTGGACACACTTTCAAATTACTCCAATCAATACAAAACTCTTCTCTTTTACTATTTCAACAATTTGCCTCTTATAAAAACATGCTGAAATTTCTGAATCTAGTTTTGCTCTGCCCTTTTTTCAGCCTTTTGATCCTTTTTAACTTAAGTAATGCTAAACAGGGAATTTACTTTCCCAAGTTGTTCAAGTCTGATCCCATAATTTTTCTGTTTCAGATTATTGAGCACAACTGCATGAAAAAAGTAATTATCTCCTGTGTATGTTGCACCTCACAATGGATTGATGAAAGCAGACAAGATTGACAAGTTATCCGGACAACCTGATAATGTGGATTTCAATCAATATGTAGAGTATGTTACTGTTGATCCACAGGCTGGAAGAGCATTGTTTTTTTTTATTTTGTTGAGTCCACGGTGAATTCTTTCACCAATCCTCTGGTTTTATGGTTAAATGAAGGTACAAAACCTTTCCCACTGTCTGTGCATAACAATGAGATATATTGTAGCACTCAACATAACGAAAGAAGTAAAAGAAATTAAAATCTTGTTGTCTACGTGTATCAAAAATGTCCTAAATGTTCGAGTACTCTAAGACAATTTGCATGTGAAGTCAATTTTCACTTCCAACCATTAATGAATTTGTCAAAATCCATTCAAGTTTTCTGATTCTTTTTATTCATCAAAAGCTGGTAGTATTATTTTACATTCTGATTACCAGGTCCAGGATGTTTATCCTTTGGATTCGGAGCTATGGATGAATTGAGCCCTTTTAGAGTCAATAGCGATGGAAGAACTCTTTTTCTAAAAGATTACACATGGATCAATGGTGAGAGCAACTTGTAAGTTGTAACAGAATCAGAGTTTCATGTGCTTTTTTCTACAATGAGTTTGCCTGTCTTCCATTTAATTTTTCAGTGGCAAATGTGATTTTCTTAGAATCACCTGCTGGGGTTTGATTCTCTTATTCAAATGGTCCACTGATTACATCACACTGGTGATACGAGCACTGCCAATGGTGCCTATACTTTTCTAGTCAACTGGCTTGAGAGGTTTTCACAATACAAATGTTGTGAAACAAACCACCGAATTGAGATGTTGAAATTATATAGCAAATAATAATGAAGTATATGATCAAATAAAAGAATAATAAAGACAAGAATATGGTAGAAGAATTAAGAGATTTTATTGACTCAAGAATAATGGATAAGAGAAAAAAATTACAATAGATCTTATAATTCTAGTAAACTATTTTCTCATACCATAAAATTGTATAGAAAAACTTAGTATTTATAGAAAACATGTATGGGATGTCCAAAACCTTCTTAGTAGAGTTGTTGATGAATTATGATACCAAAAAATCGAGTCCAAAACAAATTTCAAGTCCCAATGAGCTTCCAAACTAGAACTTCAACTTGGTATAGAACTCCAATAGCATTCCAAACTGAATTCTTCTTGACGTGTACTAGAAAATAAGAGATTTTATTGACTCAAGAATAATGGAGAAGCAAAAAATTACAATAGATCTTATAATTCTAGTAAACTATTTTCTCATACCATAAAATTGTATAGAAAAACTTAGTATTTATAGAAAACATGTATGGGATGTCCAAAACCTTCCTAGTAGAGTTGTTGATGAATTATGTTACCAAAAAATCCAGTCCAAAACAAATTACAACTCCCAATGAGCTTCCAAAATAAAACTTCAACTTGGCATAGGACTACAACAGCATTTTAAACTGAATTCTTCTTGATGTGCACTTCAGTTAGAATACTTCAATTACTTCAACAAAGAATTCGAGTCACACCCAAATTCTAACAATCTCTACCTTGACACGAATTCCACCGAGGAATGAACTTGTTTCTTTAACAATAGCCAAAAAAATAATTTCTCCAACAAAACAAAATACTCAATCTCTTCCAATAAATCCAAATACTACTCTACAGAATTACCTCAGATTCTCAAAAAATCATAATGATTTAAATTAATCAAAATGGGCTATAACATACCCCAAAACAGAATCAAACACAAATTCTTTTAAAGAAAACCCTTTGTTAGATTGTACACCTTCTACTCCATTTAAAGCATGCTCATCAAAATCAGCATCCACATACCCTTTTGCATTGGGTTCGTCCCTAGCAATTGAATACAATGACACCGCAGGTGATGGTGGCAAAGCGGCATTATCTATATCTCGTGAACTCCACTGAACAGTATTATTCAAATTCGACCATTTATGAGCTCCTAAAGGTATAGTACAAACTGAATGTCCACCACGAATTTGAACTTGTACTGATTGACTTTTCTAAATTCTATACGACCCTGTAAGATGTATAACAGAGACATTTTCTGTCCTTCCAATACAACCTGGGCACCCTTACAAACTTTCAAAACTCCATCTCCACCAAAGAACTCATAACCTTTTGAATCAATGACAGATAGTGAGATGAGATTTTTCTTCAAATCTGGAACACGTCGAACCTAGCCAAATGTTCTAATTGTCCCATCCAAAAGTTTCAATTCTAGCAACACGACAAGATGCGTTGTTTCCCATAACCAAGACACCTTAGAAACAGTTTCATATGTAGCAAACAAGTCTTATTAAGACACATATGAAACATACATGCTGAATCAAGAATCGAATCATCTTCCTTTTTAGATACAATTCAAAAATAGTTAAGAGATCTCCATCACTTACAACGTTCTCCGCGATGTCTGTTTCGCCTGAAATATCTGATTACTTCCCATATGGACTTGCAGCCAACCTTTCTTTATTTTGCAATTTCTAGCAATCATTTTTTCAAGTGTCCCTTCTTCTTGCAGTAGTTACAAATCTGATTACTAAACTTAGACTTTGATTAGCCCCTTCCAGAACCACCATGAGCAACCAGGCCTTCTCATCTCTGGCCACAGAAACCAGAAGTTTCATCTTCTCCTTTAAATACAAAGCATCATATACTTCATCTATGGTGAGAGTATCACGACTATACAAGATCGTGTCTCTAAATGAATAAAACGAAGCGGGTAACGAACACAATAGGATCAAGGCGCCAAATCTTCTTCATCATACTCTACTTCCAAACTTTCCAAATTAGGGACGATCCATTTAAATACAGTTATGTGATCTTCCAATGATTATCCTTCTGCCATTCCATGAGTGTATAAACACTGCTTGAAGTTCAACTTGCTTGTCAAACTTTTAGTCATGCACAATTGCTCCAACTTCAACTATAAAGCAGCTGCTAAATTCTCTTTCAAAACGTCCCGAAGAATGGTATTCGATAGATGAAGATGAATGTGAGAAACTGTCTTCTTATCATTTCGTAATTTTTCATCCGCGGTCAAAGTTGCGGCATCTTGTCAATTCCTAGTAACGTATTATCCAAATCTAGTTGTGCGAGTACCGCATGCATCTTAACCTGTCATAGTGAAATCTAGTGCCTCCGATCTAAAAGCGGAATGTCATACTTCATAGAAGCCATCACGAACAGAAACTTCGAACAAATCAAACATTGCAATCTTGCGGAACTGCTGAATCTGGCGCTCAGATGCCACTTGCTGTAAACACAACCAAGATACCAAAATTGCTCTGATACCACTTGTTGTGAAACAAACCATCGCATTGAAATGTTGAAATTATATGGTAAACAATAATGAAGAATATGATCAAATAAAAGAATAATAAAGACAAGAATATGACAGAAGAATTAAGAGATTTTATTGACTCAAGAATAATGGAGAAGAGAGAAAAATTATAATAGATCATATAATTCTAGTAATCTATTTTCTCATACCATAAAATTGTATAGATGAGCCTAGTATTTATAGGGAACATGTAGGGAATGTCCAAAATCTTCCTAATAGAGTTGTTGATGAAGTAGGATACCAAAAAATCAAGTCCAAAACAAATTACAACTCTCAATCGGCTTCCAAAATAAAACTTCAACTTGGCATAGGACTCCAATAGCATTCCAAACTGAATTCTTTTTTATGTGCACTTCAATTAGAATTCTTCAATTATTTCAAGAAGGAATTCGAATCACACTCAAATTCTAACAACAAATCTAGGGATTTCTACATTACTGGCGAGAGTTATGCTGGTAATTATGTATCACAGTTAGCATACACCATATTGCTCAACAACAACACAAATCAAACTGTTATTAATCTAAAGGGAATTTCAGTATGTTCAATCAGCATCAGTTCTTTACATTTCAAGCTGTGTTTCTGTTTAAACTGATTTATTATAAATATTTCAGGTAGGAAATGCATTCTTTGATGACTTGGAAATGTCACCATGCTATTACGATTATTTTTGGACTCATCCTTTAAACTCAGATGACACTCATGAAGAAATCTTTACGCTGTGTGATTTTGTGAGTGGCACTGCATCTGTCGAATGCAATAACTCCATAAATAAAGCTTATAATCAACTGCGAGATATTGACATAACAAACACTTATGCTCCCAGATGACAGAATCCCAAGCTTAAAAATGGCTCCAGCGGTTCTGTAAGCCCTTTCTACCACCTACTCACTTTGTCCGACTTTCTTTTTTTTGCTTCATTAAGTTACTCTTCAATTGATTTGATCAGGTTAACTTCTTTGATTCCTGCTCGTATATATTCCTGGAATATTACTTGAATACTGCAGAGGTTCAAAGGGCTCTTCATGTAAAGCCTACAAACTGGACTATTTGCTGGTAAAAATTGAAAAAATTATAAGAAGAAAGCAAGTTTCAATTTTGATCTATCTGTGCAGACCTTATAACTGGACAGACATGCAAAGAACTACTTTGCCAATCATTGAGAATATCATGGCTAGTGGCATGAAGGTCTCGCTATACAGGCAAGTCTTTTCGATGAACCACATCTTCTAAAGGCTTAATTGTTAGATAGTGAACGCGTGATTATTCAAATTTACTCTTCAAAATGCCTATTAATGTGAATGACAAATTTATTTTTTCACCTAAGACATGAAGTTTGTACAATTTTTATAAATGAGTGACAATGAGGTCAATATAAATTTAATATTCAACTGTGTTCCAGCCATAAATCCTTGAATAAGCATGGCATAACTACATTTTTTTTTCCGAAAATACCTCAACTTGAAAATCCAAACATGAGATTTTCATTTTGTTGATTACAAAAGCACAACAACACCAGGTAGAAATGGATATAAGAATTCCAAGTCATCTTGCAACCAGGTCGAGTTTTATTAAGTTGCTCAGTTGGTTCTACCATCTCATTTTATACATCTTGTTTTCTACATTTTTGTCATTCTTTAAGTCTATCTGCATAATTAATCTTGGACATGGAGAGATTATGTTTTCACATGAATAGAAAGTTATATTCAATTGATTTTGTAAAGGTTTGTTTAAACAAAGCATTTCCTCTTTTCTTGTATTTTTATGCAGCGGTGACATAGATGCAAATGTTCTAGAAACAGTAACCAGAGATGCAATAAACAACATAAAACTTCCAATAGAGAATCCTTGGCACGCTTGGTACCTTAACGATGAGGTAAGAACCATGCTTCGAAGATAGATTGTTTGCTTTTGATCGTTAATGTTGATGAATGCAATGGCAGGTAGGAGGATATGTGGGGGAATACAAAGTATTAACATTTGTGACAGTGAGAGGAGCCGGACATCTTTTTCCAAGCGACCAGCCTCAGAGGGCACTTACCATGATTTCTTCCTTCCTTCAAAGGATTCTTCCTTACTCCTGATTATCTGAATTTTTCTGGACGCCAAACAAGCCCTCCAACGATTTGCGATTCTCTTTTTTTAATTCCCTTTAATACCTAGATGATAATAGTTTGTTTACAAAACGGTCAGATTAAAAGCCACGAGTTGTAGGTTTGGAGTTGATAGCAACTAATTCTACAACAACGAAACTGAAACTCAGCTGCTGCACTTTGAACCTCCAATTGCATTCTCTTTTAGAGGGAACTATGTAATAACTCATTTGTTTTGATGCCTGACAGCAAGTTTTTCTTCCATTTGTAATGGTTAAACTACTTCTGTTTATGTGCATTAAATGTCAACTATACGAAAAATTCAATTTATTTTAAGGTTATCATTTTGTCCAAGGTTGTGCCCCGCAGGTTGATTGTAATGTTTCTTGGGTTTAAAACAAGATTCTATTAGTTCCATCCAAAAAAGGCTCTGTNATATTCAATGAAATTAAATAATAAAGTCCGTAGATTCAAATTTTAGTAATTTGTTAATCACGAGTAATTGTGATTGTGAGATAAAAATAGCATATGACTGAATTTTAAATCATCCATAGTCGTCAGTAATAATGAGATACGGATAACATTATTGCAGACCATCACGTATGACATTTCTTACTTGCGAAATAAGTAATTGATCTCACAAGTTAAATTGTAGTGACACTTAAATGAACACGATGTTTTGTTATAGAAAAAAAATTGGAGACTCGATGGGGAGATTCCACATGGATAACTATCTGGGTGTCAGTTGTCAATCTTTAATGTTCGGTAATAGAATTGATTCTTCAACTTGAGGTCATCACAATGCCTTATATGAGGATATTCATTTTTTGATGATGTTTCTCTACCAAAGGTTGCCAATACGACATCGTTCAAGTATGTCAAAAATCATATGAAAGTTGAGAATGATCAGTAGAAGGTTCGTCACTCTTAGATAGTAAATTGCATGTTGTTCTGCCAAGGGTCACTGATACGGTATCGTTTAGGTATGTTAAGAATCATAAGAAGTTTGTGAATGATCAATAGAGGATTCGTCACTCTTAGATAGTAAAAGATTATGATCTACATTTCATTCAATTAAGTTAATAACGAAATTATTAGCCAATGTGTACTCATAAATCGAAAAAAGAGTTTTCAATAACGAACAAGTTTGGTTTTGTCTTATCACGTAAAATTTCTCGTCACATTTATTGCCCTGACACATTGTTATATGTCAATCTGGGACGACAGTAACAAACTGATGATATATTAGAAAGAGGTATTTTAATTTAGGGATAATTGCAGCAAATGTACCAAACCTTTCATTTTTTTGCAGACTTTACCCAAACATTTTATTTGTGCCACCCACAATACCAAACCTTTCAAAATGTCGCAGCTGTAGTCCAAGTGGATGAAAATAGTTAATTTGACTGTTAGTTGACCAAAAATTAAAAATTTGGCTAGATGTTGACTAATTTTAAAATGGTGAAAATGTAATTTTATATTTTACATATAAGATGAAAACTGTGAGTTTGATCGTTAATTGACCAAAAATCAAAAGTTTGACCAAATGTTGACTAATTTTAGAAGGGTAAAAATTTAATTTTATATTTTACATATAAAATAACTAAACAAAAAAATTAAGTCAAAAAAAAAAAAGGAGAGAGAGAGAAAAGAAACACTGTTTATCTTCTTCCCACACTCCACCCCACCCAAAAAAAAAAAATCACCACCTCAGTCGTTCCTCCGCCACACACCCACCTCCACCTCCTTCGAGTTCCTCTACTAAACGAACACCAAAGATATATATGAATGCATATGATAGCTTTTATTTAGTTCTGCAATATTCCGGAAACAAAATACGTCTTTAAAGAAACTAAGCTAGCAGGAGGGACTTTGCAACACTAATTTGCGCCATTGGATTCTATATGCATTTATTCACAATGTATGATAACAAAGTCTTCCACCTATATTGATTCTCTGCATTCCCCCCAAAGCCAATTGCTATACTAGCAACGAGCTTCAAAATTCACCATCATCTTCTGTTTCCATCATTAACTTCATCCTCTACTTGTAGATCCCAAACCTCATTGGAACACCTATTTCTCTCGAATCTTCATCGTGAGATCCGTCATAACTTTTAAGTATTTCACTTTAATCCTTGAACTTTGAATCTCTTACAATTGAGCCAATTTTAACCATTTTTCTCCAATTCTTCATCAAATCGTGAGTTTTACCCATTAAACACAATATAAAACAAATTAGATCACATTTCATCAAAAGAACTACAAAATGTCGTTATTTAAAGCCCGAATAAGTATATAAAATACATGTATCAACCAGCAATTGTAATGTACTACTTCAGTTAATCAATGAACAAACCAATTTCAACACAATAAAATCTTCTGTTACAAAGCTCTCTTTAGTTATTTTTTATCCCAAATTGAGAAATCATCACCGCCTTTTTAAGAATATTCTGGGAGGTGCTGGAATTTGAAGTTCACTGCCTTGTTGGAATTTTCCAGAGTATGTATTTAATTCTTTCCACCACCATCATTGCCGTCTTGTATATACAGCCTGTTTCATTTTATTGTGTATGGAAAATAGAGCGAGTTAAGAGAAAGAGAAGTGGATAGAGAGAGGTAATAATTGAGATATAGTGGGTCTAGTCATTTTGGTGAGGAGTGCTACCATACAATTGAATAAAATAATTGTCAGGTGTTACTTCTTAGTGTCCAAGTGTCATTTGTATAAAGAGAAGTGCTTTAGGTCCCGGCTCAATGACCTGGACAAAAAACAGTTGGCGCTAAATCATGATCATTGAGCCGGGA